TGGCAAGGATAGAGGTCCAAAAGGTGAAACCACTTGCACAATCCATACAACTAGTTATCCTAGCTCCAAAAGGAAAATTCACATAGTTCATGCCCTCATTACTGTGAACTGCTCATATGCTAGCTCCTGGTGGATGATTTCACCAGATCCTGTGTGGATGTTTGGTTTGTCTACCTTTATGATGATAATATTAAACTGGAAATGCAAGACGGTTGATACAGACTTTAAAACTCGTACGCTGATTTATGAATGTGCATTGAGTCTCTCAGACGTCTTCAACAAATAGTATAAAGAGAAGCAAAAATCCTCATTCTATCATAAACAGCGGTAGCTACAATTTGGGTCATAACTATTTTGCTTTAATAGTATTGCAGAAGGTGATTGTGTAACAAATGGTTGATTTTAGTAAAGGTTGTGACAGGGAATGCTGCATTATCTCAGGAATTCAAGGTTATAGTAAGCAAGTGTTGGCAGAGTAATAAGTCCAATGAAAAAGTAAATAAAAATGTTTATTACTCCAAAATGAAAAAAAGTTAGATGTAAGATCTTAAACAGTAAACCAAGGAACAGATCAAAAGTAACATTTAGCAATTTTAGATGAACATTTTTAGCTATAAATCTTGGTGTGCATCTGCATATACACAGGTGTTCATGTTACATGTTTTGTTTTTCTTACAACCTTAGGAGCCGATAGTCCCAGGTCCACATCAGTCTTCCTGCTTGGCCACTATATATAGGAGGTAGACTTATCTCTAAAGCTCTCAAGGTTCTTCCTCTTTTCCTCTCCCAGTTGTCTGACTTGTCTTGGCTGGGGTGAATGCTTAACCTTTCAAGACAGGTTCATGATAACAGACTCAAAAGATGGACTGGGGAAATGTCTCAAGAAAAACAACCAAGAAATCTCACCACACTGTGAGGAAGCATGACACTAGCTTTGTTATTCTCAAAGTTGCATATAAGCTCAACAGGAGGTGTTCTGTTGTAATTTATTTGGGGTTTAGAGGGGGGAGCCCTGAGAAGAGGGGAAATTTCCATGACAGATGGATGCCAGAGCAGCCCTCACTCAGAGGAGGGACAAGAGAGACTGCATTAGGAAACCGTAATGATGGCACCTAAGGAGTTCTGAGATTACTGAGAATGTATTTGGAGGAGTCCTCCCGCCCAAGCACCAGCATAATGGTCTCTTTTCGGGAAATAGAGTGAGAAGCTAGCAAAGTGCTCTTCTCTCCACAGCCTTCACTTGGAGCTTTAATTTAAATTCTACTAAAGAGAAAATGCATGTATTCTTGCCATCTGTGGACATGCACCCAGAGTCACCCACCAGAACAAGAACATGCCTGTGTGGGCATCTTGAGACTGTCGAGAAGATCAGGCACCTGTGACCACCAAGGATCCCTTTACTTCCCCAGGAAACAATCAGAATGAAAGAAAATGTATTGAACTACTCAGCCTCCCCCCCCCCAAAACTGAACTAGTGCACTGCTCTGTGGGCAACAGGAAATTAGATAGCTGGGTTACCTTGTGCATTCAGAAGTTGCTTGTGTCTTCTGGTGATGGGAGCTGCAAGAAAGAGATAGCTAGTGGGAGCAAAGGTAGGGCAGTGGGACTGGCATCGAAGTACCATAGCCAGCTTCACATCACCAAATAGTAAAGGACACAATCGAGCAAGACACTTCTGTATCAGAATAGTGTGTGGTTTCACCCGAAGTGTGCTTTGTTCCAGCTCTGGCTTTAATGCAAGGCTGCCGTTTACTTGCTGTTGTTAATATTTTGGCAAATCATTTTTACTTTGGAAAGATTATTCTTTAACATTTTGTTCTGTGCAATCTTAATAAGTTTATGATGTTCTGTATTGCTTTTGTGGTTTCTTTCGTTTACCAATTACTTCCTTCCTACAAGCTGTTTGGTTTTCTTTTGGAAAAATCAATTCATTTAGCTTTATTTTAATTCCTTATTGCTCATTTGTGTCTGTGTTTGTGCAATCAGCAGTATCTGCTTTTGGTAGCAAGTTACTAAAAACAGGATTTCAAGTTTTATTTTTTAGCAAAAGCTTTGGTGTCAGGTTCAGAGGAAAAAGAAAACAGATACACTGATTTTAAGATGAACTTTGTGTCTGTAGCAAAAAATAAATTAAATTATTGATTAGGAATTAAAATACAGTTAGAGAATACTTTCAGAAGGAGTTATCTTGAAAGTACAGAAGGACAGGGAAGACTTGTCCATCAGGCTTGAAGAATCAGACTCTTATGCTTAATTTGTAGTCTATTTTTCTGTCTTAACTAAAAGGCTTTACAAAACAGTCTTAAAATAATTTCTTATATTTAATAACTTAGATTGAAAGAGCTGTTTTTGTAAGTGTTTAGATTGACCTTTTCTTTCAAGGGATCCATGGTAGTTTTAGCATTAGATGTTTTGTTTCTTTTTAGTAACTTTATGGTTTTTGCAACCTGTCTGTCAGCATTACTCAACATAATTTAAAGTTTATGCCAGCTGCCAATCTATCAGTTAAACTTATCAAACTTATGACTTTTTTAATGTTAGGAACCCTTTATCTGAACAGAAATATAGAAAAACTAAATAAAATTGAATTTTTAGAAAGTCTCCAACATTGCATCTGAGCGTTATGTGGAATAAAGGTGAATACATTGTACATTGCAGAAGTCTCAAAAATTGCTTCAACATGTTTCAGAAGGATACACAGGGGTGAATACAAGTCATTTACTGCATATAACTCATTTACAGAATTTTAGTTGTATCCCCATAACAACACTTCTTTCCATTTCTTTCAGTTCATTTAGTTTAAGAGAATTCTTCTTGTTCAAGAACATTAATTCTTCATTCCTAAAAGAGGCAAAGGCAAAAATGCAGTGTAATATACTAGAACTAAGAGAAACTCTTTTGATTGTTTCTAGAAATTAATTTTGCTGTCTCAATTTATGTAAGCCTCTTTCTAAAGGCAAAACTCCCTCTGAACTCAAACCAAGTTGGTGGGTTTTAACAAAATACGCAATGAGGACTATATGCTCTGCATGTAAGAATAAAAAAAGTTTTGTCACTGTGTTGTATAGTTGCCTCAAAAGCAAATCTCTGATTTACCCCCATCTCCTCCAGGGTTCTGTCTCCTTTCATGGTTCAGACAGGTTACCACTGATCGTGCTTGGAAACATGCCAGCGCCTGATCTGAACTTGAGTATCACCAGGATGTGTTGGTTTGTCTGTTGAACCAGGTATTATTAAGAGGGTGAACAATATGTTCATTCCTAGTTTTGATATTGCAGTGGAGAATACATAAGGTTTTATAATTTTAGGAATTATAAATGTTTTGTCTCTGGATTCTGAACTGTCTTGGAGCTGATGTGGAATTTTGGATGTAGAAATCAGACTGTTTCTTGGCTCTGAAGAGTTAACAGGTTACACTTGAGTTATACAGAAAGCAGAGATGAGACAGTAAGATAAACAAGCCAGATCATGGGCTATGGTTTCATGGCACTTCACATGTCCACTGTATATAACGAAAAGGGATCACTGCCCAATAAAGGGCTAGAATGGGAACAAATCCAGATATTTAGAGGAAATATTTTAAAATTCAGGCATATTGACCATACTTTGATTTAGCATAGAGCTGAATCAATAAATGTGTGTCAGAATTTAAAAATACAGTTTTCTTCTCATGCAAGAGTTCTCATAGGTGACTGCAAGCATGTCTCCTGCATTCAGATTTTATCTTTCCTATAAAACAACCACAGCTGGGTCAGGAAACTACTCCAAGGCAGAAAAAAAAAAATGTTCAGTCCTTCTGAACAGAAAATATGTGTCTATATCATGTTGTGGCCATTATTAGTGAGATCCAGGCTGCAACAGCTCCTGTAAGGCAGCTGGTCACAAGGGAAGCACAAAGATGAAAGTGGTAGATGTAGATTCACCCTGCCAGCCCCCAGCCAACCGCAGAAACTCCTCTTAGAGAAACTGAAGAAGTTACCCGACAAGAAGTGGAAAGCCCTGTTCAGGACAGGAAACCTGAGAGACTTCAACATGCACAAAATTAATCAGCAAACAAGTGATTGTCTCTGCTATTTGAAGGTTTCCTGCTGGCTTTTGTTGATTAAACAATTCCTAGTTGGTTCAGTAATACAAAAATTAGGCAGCATATGCGGAGACAGATTTCCCATTAGGCTGGTATTGGCTTAGTTAATAATGTTTTCAGTTCATTAACCAGAGTGCCCAGGCAGAGAGCTGTGCTCACCATCCTCGGGAGCCCGGCTGCTGCTCCCGCACGCCAGCCTCAAGAGGGAAGCCGCTTAACACTGCACTCACCTGCGTGGTTTCAGAAGGAACGCCTCATGCCCTGGAAAGCAAGAAGCCATGTTTTTCCGTAGTACACAGTGTGAAGCTTGTCCTTTCCTCTTCTGCCGCTAGCTGCGGGTGGCCTGCCTCTCCACGCTGACTGGTTGGTGGAAGGAACACGGCAGCAGCCCAGCAGCCTCTGGGAGCACGGACGCTGCACCCTGCAAAATGTAGGGTTTATGTTGACCTCATTTCAGACTCACAGATTTGAAAATTTGGGAGGATGGGATATTCTGTAGTCAA